TGATTTTTTAATTTGGTTTGTTCCATTCTTATGATCAGAAATGGGATTAGAATACATTCTGTGTACTGTAAAGTATGTAACTATATATTGTAAGCTGTACACTTTTTCAGCCCAGAAGGTGAGCCTAGTCATTTCCAGAGAATCACTTCCTAGTCTAGGTATATAGAGTCCATCTAAGTATTGTTATAAGGAGCTAGTTGGCTTGAACCTACCTGCCTGCATAGTATATTTAAGATTACAAAGCAAAACTGAAGATCCTCTCCTCTCCTGGTGTCTTTATTTCAAATATTTTTGTTGTTGTTGTTGTTATCAGGGTATGTCACACATTATATCTGAAAATTCCTTTCTCTGAGTTATTAAAACCCAGAGGGGCAAAGAGGCCATCATTTTTCATCTTGCCACTAGTGTGTCTCTGTGGATAGAGAGGTTGGGCACAGCAGTAATGGTCCCACATGAGAACAGGGATGGCCACTTTCTTTGTTTCTTCCTTAGCTAACGTCCCTCTGCGAAGTCTTTGTGAGCACTCTATTCTTTGGACTGGCTTCACTAAAGGTGCCAGGGACTTGCCTCTGCCTCAACTTCTCACAGTACCTTCTGCTGCTTCTATACATTGACTCTTGGCAGATGATAATTTGCCATTTGGGATAATTATTTTTCTGCATAGTGATCCAATTTAGTTTTATATAATAAAGTTCAAATCAATAAAATGTGGTTTCATAGAAAGCAGCAAACATGTTCTAGCTTTGGCTCTATAAATTCCAAGACTGCTATCATGCTCCATAGAGTGTCCCCATAAACTTGATAATCTGGATTTCTTATATTAAAACATAAATATGGGGCTGAGGTTGTGGCTCAGTGGTAGAGCGATTGCCTAGCAAGTATGAGGCACTGGGTTTGATCCTCAGCACCACATAAAAACAAACAAACAAACAAATGAAGGCACTGTGTCCATCTACAATTAAAAATATTTAAAAGTTAGATATATTTTTAAAATATTTTTTCTCCAGTTGCAGGTGGACACAATAACCTTCATTTTATTTTTATGTGGTGCCCAGGATCAAACCCAGTGCCTCAAGCATGCTAGGTGAACATTCTACCACTGAGCCACAAACCTAGCCCCCAAAAGTTACATTTTTATTGTGCTTAAATATATAACTTATTAAATAGCAATGAATATTTGTGTAGTTTTTAAAGATTATGAAGTCTAATTCAGATGTATTAGATTATTTAATCACAATACTAACCCTGTGACATCGATAGGAATTATCTCATTAATCCCATTAGTTGATTAGAAAATTAAATTTCAGAAAGATTAAGTCATTTTCCTAAGGTTATGTGGTTGGTAAGGGAGAGAATGAGAACTTGAACCTGTATCTTCTGACTGTAAATCTTTATAATCCATGTTCCTTCTAAAATATACAAGGGATTAGCATACTTAACTTGAAAGATCTCTCAGAATTTTTATTTCAGAATCTCAACCAGAGGCCCTTTAAAATCAGGTTCCTTTTCTGTGTTTATATTTCTCTGATATTTTTGTATATATCACTCTACTTGAAAGAAAATAGATTGTACATTTATTTCTGAAAAGTAGCTGCTTAAGGTTTGGCACAGACTGGTATTTTATTCCAGGAAAAAAATCTTAAAGTTTTAGAATTGTGTAGAACAATTTAAAAAAAATACTAAAATGTATATTTGCTTCACAGTTAGAAGTCTTCACTGTTTCAAAGTTATGAACAGCTCACCTACAATGCATTTTCTTCCTTCCTTCTCTCCTCCCTCCCTCTTTCCCTTTCTTCTTCCCTATCCTCCCCACTTTCTCTGCCCTTCCCTTTCCTTTCCTTCCCCCGTCCTTCCATTTTTTAGGAATATTGATACATTGATGAAATGGTACTTGAAGTGCATGAAGTATGAATCCAATATTTTGTTTTGGATGGGTATCCATGCGTCCAGAAAATTTATAGAATAGTTGGATTTTCTGCACTAATTTGAGGTGATGTTTTTATTGTAAACTCAATTTCTATATTTATTAGACTTGTTTTTGTATTTCTTATAACAAAGTTTGTTGATATTTATGTGATAATTGAATGCTGTTTTAATTATTGAGGATTTAGAATATGTTCTAACATTGTAGAACTAATTTACATTAGGGCTTTTTCTGTATTAGATGTTCATGGATATTCTTGTGTACTTTTATTCTCATGTAGATTTTATGATTATTTTGGCTAGTTCTGTGTTAGCTTTCTGTAACTGTGGCAAAACACCTGAGATAAATGAATGACTTATAAGAAGGAAAGGTTTATTTTGGTGAATGGTTTCAAATCATTGTTACTTGGCCCTATTGTTTTGGCCCCGTGGCATGTCATGACAATAGCAAGTGACAGAGGAGAACCACTTACCTAATGACAGCCAGGTGGCCAAAAGTGAGAGAGAGTGTCTGGGATCCCAATATCTCTGGAGATAACTCCAATGACCTAACTTCCTTCCATGAGACTCCATTAAAAAAAATTGTATTGATTCTTTTTACTTATACATAACATTAGAATTCATTTTGACATAATTATAAAAGCATGAAATATAATTTGCTCTCATTCAGTCCCCAGTACTTCCTTTCCCTCCCCTTCTTCCTGTCCCTGTTCCCTTCCTTCCAACCTATTGATGTGTCTGCTACTTATTTAAGATTTTTTTTTTAAGTTAGTGTCTTGGGGTTGTATGTAAGAGTGAGACTTAGTGTGGTCTATTCATGTGTGTACATAGGAAAGTTAGGTCAGACTCATTCTGACCTAATGAGTGAGTTCTCCCTATATCTACCTTCCTCCTCCTTACCCCCTTCTTCTATTCCACTGATATTTCTTCCATTTCAATGGAATTCCCTCCCCCACCCCCCCTTTTCTTTTCTTCTTTATTTTGGACTAGCTTCCACATGTGGAGAGTCCTCAAAAAAACTAGGAAGGGGACCACTATATGATCCGGCTATCTCACTCCTCAGTATGTATGCAAAAGGTCTGAAATCATCATACTGTGGAGATGTAGCCACACCAGTGTTTATAGAAGCCCCGTTTCTTAAAGGTTCTACTGCCACCAGACAGTACCACATGGTGAAGACCAAGCCATTAACACATGTGCCCTTGGGGGACACTTCCAAATGATAAAGAGTTCTTAAAACAGGAAAAGATTTGTTAAAAAAAAAGTATACATTAACTTCAGATAAATTGACATTTTTATAAGGTTGTGACTAGGGAAAGTCGCGTTTTCCATTCACCTCACTCTTCTTTCATCCTGCATTGGCATTAACGTAATTTCTGAACATTTTTTGGTTATGCCTCATTATGTTTTTTGACTTCTATTTTCATTTCTTTTCTTCAGTGTTTTTTGGTCAGCACCTTTCGTTCCATGCTAATCATTGTGGTGATATTGGATATTGTTTTTTTTTTTTTTTCCTGTATCTAGTGAAATCCAGATTTTAAGTATAATGCTATTTTGGAAGAAAGAATGTATTTTGATTATCTTATTAATGTATTTTCATTTTATTGTTTTATAAAAGCCAAACCAGGTTAATACATTTGACAAACGAAAATGAAAACAAAAACTTGTGCCTAGCCAAGATTATTTAAAATTCTAAAGATAAACAAAGCTCGTTCTGGGTATTCATGCTGTAGAAAAGGGGCTGATATCATAAAGGTCTTTTAGAAATCAATAATTTAAAAGAACCAAAAATTTAAGAGAAATATAAAGTTTGTGCATAGGAAACACACCATTGTCTCTTATATATGAACAGATGCTCTATAACACCCATAATAAAAGCTATACCAATTAAACAGTGTCATGATACCAGAGTTATTCACTTACAGAGTAGCAAAAGTCAAAAGTTTGTTTAAATTGTTTGTTGGTGAGGCCGTGGGGAAATAGGAATTGATGTGACACTGTGAAAGGCCTTTATCTATATTACAATTAAAAATGCAAAACATCCTAATTCATCAAATTTATTTCTAGCATTTTTGAGATATCATTGCATAAGTACAATATGGTGTATAGACAAGTATGACATGACTACATTGTTTGTAGCTATAAATACCTGGAAACAACATAAATGTCTATGTTAATTGTCTCTATTAAATGATTGGTTAAATTATTATGTACATTTCAACAATGGAATACTATGCAACTCTAAAGAATGTGAAAAATCTCTGCTTATACCAAAAAAAGAGCAAGGTTCAGAGTAAGCAATGTGCTATGTTTTGCTTAGAAAAGGAAGAAATGAGAACATAGTTTTATATGTGATTATAAATTGTAAAATTCTGAAGAATTAGCAAGGAATTAATGACAGTGTTTACTTTCATGTGTGGTGGTATGGAACTAAACCTCGAGGGCACAAAACTAAACACTTCTGCCAGCAAAGAAAGGCCTCATTACTCTGTATTACTAAGTTGCTTGTCTATCTTCTCCAGAGACTATAAGACATGTAAGGGTGGGGGCACTATTTTTTGTTAATTATCATATTCCAAGGAATCTTATTCCTAGTATACTTATCAAATGGAATTTTAAAGTTTTTTGAGCTATTTTTGAATATATCATCTACTCAAAATTATATTTAAAAAGACATGTCTATTTTGCAACATTTATTTTGGAGAAAACTAGGTCAGTAAACTGGTTCTTAATTAGAGATCACCTAAACTGGTTTCTTATTTAGGTGATTTTAGTCTTTTTTTTTTTTTTTTGCTACATCAAATCTAAAATAAATAGAAGGAAATCTGGGTGAATAAAGGAAGTTCCCTAGAATAAGGTGAATAAAGAAAGACCAATTATATGCTATCATAGGAAATTACTCAAAATAGAATTTGGCGTTTTCTATTTTTAAAATTCTTGGAGAGAAATCCAATTAAATTTGAAATCATATTTTTCCATTGACTTTAATTTGATGTAAAATAAGGCTCCCATGACTGCCAGATATTTTAGTAAATTCATAAATAATATTCAGAGTAAGTATTTTACAAAAAACTTACCTGTTTTAAAAGAATGTGCAGAAGGTAGTTAAGACACTCTCCATACGATTCTTGGTGTGTTCTTCAAGGCAAAAGTTCCTGCAAAGGCAGAGGTTATTCTCACTTGTCCCATTCTCACCTCATAGATTGCATTTGGGGAATGCCAGTCCGTGGACAGAGAATGCCTCCAAAGGACACAGGGCCTTAGGGAGGACCATGGGTTCAGCAGCAGTTCTGGGGCTTGTTCTGATGTGCTAATCCTGTGACTGCTTCTTGGCTTTGCCCATAGCCTTGGCTCCGACTCCCGGCTTGGATCTTGGGCCTTGGCTTGGTTAACTCTCTGACTTCTGGTTCTGAACGCTGGCTGTGACCCCAGAATAAATACTTGCAACAACCTCATTAGAACTCCTGGTCTGTGGTTCTATCCTGGTTTCCTGGCCCTAGGCTGCTTCTCTAATGCCAGCTCACAGACTTGAGACTTGGTCCAGAGCTGCATGGGAAAGAATTTTAGTAAACTGTGAAGGACTATACAAGTGCAAGAGAGGAATATTATTTCCAGTCAATCTTCTGGCAAAGGCAGTGGTCAGGAATGTGATTGTATGATAAGGGGAAAGATGTCCAAGCCTTTTGATGATACACATGAAGAACTAGGCTAGAGACCCTTTGCTTTTGGATCTATGTTTGAAAGATTAGCTTAATCTCTGTATAATAGATTCATTCCATTGAGGAAAAAAAAATATCATTTTCAAATCCATCTGCTGATGACTTTTGTCCTATGATTCAGACCAATAAGACCACACAGCCTACCTCAGGCCCCACATGTGGATGTCCACCCAGTAACTGTGACAAAGGAGACTAATACTGAACTCATCCTATTCTTTCTCTGGCTCCTGGCCTCAACTTTTTGCCCCTTTGGTGCTCTCCAGCTCAGGGAAAGGTACCACCATCTACTAATGGTCCAAGTAAGAGACTTTACATTAGCTTTACTTTTCCTGCCCTGGTTCTCAACTAATCACAGTTCTGTTTATCTCCTTTGATTCTTCTCTCTTCTATTCAACTACCACTGCCTTTTGGTTGGCCACCCTGTTTCCAATTCTTCCTTTCTATAGTATCACATGGACATGGAAGTGACATTTGGAAAATACACATCCCGTTGTGTCACTTTTGGAGTACAATTCCCACCAGGTGGAATAACCATTCTTCATTGACTGGTAGCTTAAGACCTAACTCTCTAGATTCAAGCCTACATGTCAAAAGGTCCGTTTCTTCCTTAAAACTCAACATTGGTGTCTCTTCCCTTTTTTGACACCACTTCTTCCATCAAAAGGGCTTATTACTCTGAGTTGTCAATTTCCTTGTCTATCTTCTCCAAAGAGTATAAGACACTTAAGGATAGGGACAGTATGTTTTGTTAATTTTCATGTTTCTAGTACCTTATGTGAGCCAGAAATATAGTAAGTGTTCAATAATTACATATGAAATAACTGATTGAATTCATAAACCTTCAAAATAAAATGTAAAATAATTTAAGTACTGAAACTGGTAAATATCTATTAATTCTTGGGACTAGTCAATTGAGAGAAATATACAGATAATTAAACAACAATAGCAAAAAGTCACCCAGAATAAAAATGGAAAGGGCATTAAAAAATAAAGACAATAGAATGAGGACTTTGCTAAATCTACTTGAGGTAAAGTACAAAAAGAGAAAGGATGTGTTCTTCACTTGTATTCTCCGAGAGAGAGAGAGAGAGAGAGAGAGAGACACCAACCAATCCACAAAGATAACTTGGTTTCTTAGACTTAGCAGTTCTTGTGTAAAAAAGAAGGTGACTGAATATCCTTGAAATGTTTTGTTAATGTAAGATTCTGAATGTCTGATGGGTGTGAAGAATGAATGTCTGATGGGTGTGAAGAATTAACATTGTATTATGTATAGACATAAATAGGTGCTGTTTTTTTGACATTTCACCATCAGGTAGAATTAGGTTGTACACAACTTCCCCATCAATGACCTTCCAATAGAGGAGATCTTACTGTTAAACAAAGTCTAATTTGCACCAAACAACTGAGCATAGTTTTTCAAACTAAACTTTGTAAGACTGGCAAGAAGGTCAGGTTGTAAAATTCCAAGAATCCTGCCATATTATGATTTATCTTTATCTGGTTAAAACTTTCCTGTAAGTGAACTGAATATTGTGTATTTATTTGAAATTTAAATATTTTATCATATCTTCTTTTATCACATATGAAGTTATTGGATATTATTTTTCTACTAAGGATTATTGAGCAAAGAGAACTTGGGTCTTAGCCAATCTCAAGCTGTGGAGTGGCCCTGATATTTACCAGGATTTCAGAAATACAATGGTAGTATAAATATAGCTTTTCTAAACTTAACCTCACCTGTTATTATCTTCTTTATTTCTTTTAGTCAGGAAAATACTAATTCTATTCTAAGGAAATTAGGAAATAAAAAGAGTTTGTTTCCATCTAGGAAATTCTTTTCAGTAATAAAATCTTCTCAATAACTTCTTTTTATAGTTTTTGTCTTATATCTGCATCTAAAGTTGTCACTATTTCTGTTACATTGTTTAACAAAGTACACATATTGAAATTATTGCCTTTCAGAACAGTGGGAAAAGAAGAAATCACTATTAAGAAGTTTGTATTAAAATTGCTCTTTACTCAGAGATTCCCTTACTATATAAGACCAGGTCTCTCAACCTGGCTATGATTGACATTTGGAGTTGAATAATTCTTTGTTATGGAGATGGCCCTCAGCATTATAATCATTTTCTTCCATCCACAAGGTACCAGCAACACTTCCCATTCCAATGGGGTGATCAATTTCTGTCCAGACATTGCCCAGTGTTTCCTAGAGGCAAAATTATCATTGGTTGAGAAGAAAGCTTTAAAGTTATAGCTCATTCTTGTTGACACCAACTTCATATAGTAGAGGCTATGAGGTAGGTAGTTGTTTTAATCAGCTTTTTCATCACTGCGATCAAAAGACCTGACAAGAACAACATAAGGGAGGAAAAATTTCAGAGGTTTCAGTTCAGACAAAGCTGACTGCAGGAGGGGAGACAGGACATCATAGCAGAATATAGTGTAAAGGAGGAAAGTAGATTAGCACATGACACAAGGAAGCAGAGGGAGCCCTAGCTCACAAGGAACAAAATTTATACCCCAAAGCATACCCTGGTGACCCTTCTAGTCACATCCTACCTGCCTACATTTACCACCCAGTTAATTCCTATCAGGGAATTAATGCACTAATTAGGTTAAGACTCCATAACCCAATCATTTCACCTCTAAATTTCTTGCACTGCTTACACATGAGCTTTTTGGGGGACAACTCATATCTAAATGGTAACAGTACTTAAAAGTACTTCTCTTTTCAAATTAGTAAATAAAATTGCTCTCTCTGTGTTTTAAATAGTTATCTTCATAAAGAAAGTTTCAGGGCATTTACTATGTTTTCAACTTTGAGGTATTGCAGTTTACCTAAAAGAAATGCACAGCTTGGCTTCTGCACTAGTGAAGGTTTAAATCAAATTTGAGAAAAGAGATCAATACTCAAAGAACATGAGAGACTAATGGAAGACAGAATATACTGGCAAGAGACTAAAAGGCAGAGTGGTCACATTCCAAATTGTATGGCACAAGCTATGGTTATGTGATTGATCTCCTGATTTGATGTTCTCTTGAAGGTTCTATGACCTATTTTGACATGTAGGCAGTGGTGAAATGCTGTTTATTAACTCAAAGCTTTCTGCTATGATATTCAATAACAAAGAGAACAGTAAGAAAATATTCTGTTTAAACAAGCCAGATCACTTTTACATGTGACAGCCAAGCCATGCTGGAGAGAAGGCGCTGAGCCTGGTTACGTTAGTAACCCAGTGGTAACTGAAGGAGACAAATCTAACCAGGCATGGAGAGTCTATGGCTGACATGTGAGCTGGTGCGTTTAGAATGAGGGCGCATTAATGGAGATCAAACCATGTTTTTCCACTAACTTCAGACCTTAGCTATTTAACAATTATAAAACTTTCCTAACATTTACGAGTTTCTAAACACATTTATTTTCTTTTATTCTGCAAATTCCCCACTAGTAATGAAATGATTTAAGTCATTTTATGTTTTTGTGTTATCTAATAACATTCAAAGACAAAAAAACAAAACAAAACAAAACAAAACAAAACCAAAAAGACAACCTTTGCTTTTAACTGTTAAAATGCTGGTAAAATGGCTCATATCAAATTCTCATATGAAATCTTCACTGATATTAATAATGGAAATATGAAGGATATAAGTATGATGCATTTCTGTATGTATATGTAAAAATTTTTTAAACCAAATAATACAGGTTAGAAAAACTCACAATCATTTGATCTTACAGTGAATTTTGATGTTATAGTGACAGAATTTAGTAAATACAAAGAATGTAGAGACTGTTGAGTTGATGGAGGTTACTATGACTACACACAAATATTTTGTCACCTTCACCTTCTGGTCCTGTGGCAGAATTTACACATCTCTACCAGCTAAAACTAGGTGTAGTCACATGAACTGCTTTAATTAATGAAGCATGAGTATGGTCAAAATTTTAAGAAGCAGTGGGTGATTTTCCCGTGTCCTTGTGATCAGTCGTATTTCACACTAGTAGTAGTTACATTATCTTGAAGTAAGGATGATGACCAAGCAGAAAAATGACTCCCGTTGACCTACACAACATCTAGAAGAAAGGAGATACCAAGATTTTGTTCAAACATCAACTATAAATGTTCCAACAGATACACATATAGCCAGTGAGATTTAGTGATTGGTTGTTAGCACAGCATAATCTGGACCATTCTGTTTGATATAAAGTCCAAATTTCACATTTTGCCATTGAGTCAACTGAGGCCTAGAGAAGTCACAGCACTTGACTGCGATTGCCAGCAAGATGGCAGAATCAATTCCAGAATCAACATCTGCTGTCTGGGATAGTGTATTTTTTCCCTTACACAAATGCTCTTCAGAGTTGGGGTGTGTACCAACAGAGAACATGATGTGATTTTAGTTATAATGTAAATATTATCTTAATAATGAAACACAGGAAGAAAAAGATAATTTCTTTCCAATTATCTTCATTTCTACGTATTAATAAAGGGAAAATTCTCTATTTTATGTTACAAATCTATAATAGTGCCTTTGTCTCCTTCCTTTTCCTCTTCCCTTTCCCTTCCGTTCCTTCTCCTCCTCCTCCTCCTGCAAAAATCAAGAAAAGGACTAAGGAAAAAATACAAAGATGTAAATAGAGTCTGGAGATTCCCATCAGGGCTTTTGGCTGGAGACCTGCTTGGAGTCGGTTTCTTGCAGGT